AATGAATGGAATTCCAAAATCTCTGTAGATGTTCATTGAAATGAAAAATAAACAACCTAAATTTAAAAAAAAAAGAGAGACAATAACCGCCATCCAAGCAGATATATGCACACCCATGTTTATCGGCTTTGTTCACAATAGCAAAGAGTTGGAAACAACCTAAGTGCCTATGAACAAATGAATGGATAGAGAAGCTGTGGTATATTCACACAATGGAATACAATGCTGCATTGTAAAACAAGGAACTCATGCAATATTATTCAAAATGGGTGACCCTGGTGGACATTATGCTGAGTGAAATATCTCAGTCACAAAAGGACATAGTGCCACTGTTGTAGAATGGGACTGACATCAGGGTCGGGATAAGAATGAGAAAACTGGAAAGAAAAAAAAAACACAAACAAACAAACAAAAAGAATGAGAAAAAAATGATAAATTATGTATACTTCATTGAAACAGATGAGAGAGAGAACAGGTTAAAAGAGATATATGATAGGGTATTATGGTTATCACAAGAGTCCAGAATGAAGGTTGCCTAGTTGAGTGCACTGGTGTGTGTGTGTGGGGGGGGGGCGGGGATTTATACCAATGAAGGAATTTTACTTTTCAAAGAGAAGAGCAAACTGGGGGGAGGGGTGGGCAGGGAGAAAAGTGCAACAATGAATGAATGGAAATCCAAAGTCTCTGTAAATGTTCATTAAAATTAATAAAAATAAAGTTTAAGGTAATACAGAGATGGGTACAGTACACAGGAAGTCTACATCGTGTTTTTTAATCTGTTTGAATGAGACAGGCTCTCTCCAAAAGGACTGTACACTACAGAGTTTGGTTTTCTTGGCAAACACTAGTATCCACCTTGGAAAGATGTCTTGACTTGACAGAATTTCCCATTTGTTCACTTGCAATCATTTATTCACTTAGTCAATTAATATTATAGTACCTACCATGTGCCAGCTACTATGCTAGACTCTGAAGACTGTACATGAAATTACCTTTAGAGAACATTAAAAAAAAAACCAAAACAAAACCCAACAACAATCCAGAACCATGCCTAAGACACAACTCATTGTCAACTCATTTTTTACTCTTAGTGACTATATAGGACAGAGTAGAATTTTCTCGTTGTTGTTGTTAGGTGCCATCAAGTCAAGTACTAGTGACCCTAAGAACAATAAATTTGAAACTTGTGCCATCCTCATACTTTCTTACATACTCAAGCCCAGTGCAGCAGGCACTGTGTCAGTCCATCTGTTTGAAGATCTTCTCTTTTTCCTCATAGGAATTTCATTACAGGGTTTCCAAAGCTGTAACCTTTATAGAAGCAGACTACCACATCTTTCCTCTGTGGAGCAGATGATAAGTCTGATCAGCAACCTCTGGGTTAGCAGATAAGTGCTTAACTACTGCACCACCAGGGTTCCTTCTAGAGAGCATAAGTAGTGCCATATAATGGAATGACTTTACTTAATCATTTCTTTCCTTTGACACTAGATTTACTTTTTGACTTATAATCACTCAATAATCAATCTATTAAAAGTATATCTAACTTGGCTTTTAGATACCTATCATATTGTTTAGTTCTCTGACTTATCTTTAAGAGACATATTTATGGAAATACTAGTTCTGTCTTTCATTTTTCTCCTGCATTTGTATAAAATAGATACTACAGAACAGTAAGTGGTAAAGAATGTATTGATAGAATTTAAGCTCACTTCTCAAATGGCCTTGTGGAAATATGTGAATCCTGAGAGAAACCTTGAGTCTCTTACTTATTATAACTGACCAAGATATTCCTAAAACTATGATCTTTTGGTGAGCAGTATCTGTTAACTTTCAAACTGTTTGTTATGAATATAATATGGGATATAATAAAGAAAATTTTTCCTTAGGGAAACTCATCCCAAAATTTGTAAATTATTCTTACACATTAAAATACCATATTTAGCTCTATTCCAGAAAACACAGCATTAGACATAGAATTACTAGTAAATAAAAACTAGGAAAGAGTCTCTCCCTATTGATGTTGCTTCCTTATTGATAGGTTCAAGGGCACCAGTTTCATAAAAGAAAAGACAATTGCCTCCTAAACCCTCTTAACTGTTCTTTGTGTTGTTGTAAGGTGCTGTTGAGTTGGCTGCAACAGAGTGTACAACAGAGTGAAACTCTGCCTGACCCTGCATCATCCCCGCAGTCTCTGCCTCTAGTTGCAGCTACTGTGTCAGTCCATCTTGGGTTTTTTTCTGACCCTTAGGGACTGGCTCTTCTTGATAACACACCCAGTGTATGTGAGATGAAGACTCATCATCTTCATCCCTAAAGAGCATTCTGGCTGTATGTACTTCTTAAGATAGATTTGTTTATTTTTCTGACAGGGCATAATATATTCAATATGCTTTGTGAACACCACAATTCAGAAACATGAATTCTTCTTTAGTCTTCCATATTCATGGTCCAATTTTCATATCTTTATGAGGTGATTGAAAATAGCCCTCAAAGTGACATTTTTGTTCTTTAAAACTTTAAAGGAAGTCCTTTTGCAGCAAATTTTCATATATACTTTGATTTCTTGACTGCTGCTTCAGTAGGTGTTGGTTGTGGATCCAAGTTAAACTAAATCCTTGATTACTTCAGTATTTTCCCCTTTCATTGTGATTTTTTTGGTTCATTTGTGAGGATTTTTATTTTCTTTATATTGAGTTATACTGAAGGCTATATAGGCTTTGATCTTCATCAATAAATTCTTCCAATCTTGGTGATTTTCAGCAAGATTGGGTTATCTACAGGTTGTTAATGAGTCTTCTCCAATCTTCATATAGTTTAGCTTCTTGCCCTACTTTAGGAAAGTTGTCCTTTAAGACTTAAAATATTTTTATAATTCCAACTAAGTCCTGAAAAATTGAAGTCAATATACAATAGTATTTTCCTCATGCTGAAGTATGTAACTAATTTGTTGTTATGCATATCTTAATTGTATTTGTGACTTAGGAGCAGCCACTTAACTAGTAGGAATCCTAGGATCATCATTTGTAGAATGAGTGGATTGCATCACTAAGATTCCTTTTGCTTCTCATTATCTATGTTTATATGGCCTTAGAAATATGCCTGATAGCCCTGCTTTGAAACTTAATATGTCAGTGAAGGGATTGTAGTGTTAGTTGCAGGTGAGAGGAACCAATATAGAGTAATAGAGAAATAGAATGTCCTAAGAGTAAGTAGGTAAACTCCAGCCACAGGACGTTCTAGAATAGAACTTGAGTTACTAAAGGAAATGGCCTGACAAGAATAGACTGTGTCCCAGTTCTAGAGGAACTAGAATAATAAGCAAGTTGTCAAGATAGGAGCTCAGATGCCACAAAACCTGGCTGATGTCCTATTATCTGAAAGTGGGTGCTGGACTAGTAAAAAGGTAGAAGGATAATTGGCTATAATGATATCTCTTTACCTGCCGGAGTTAGAAATTAATTCCAGAGTTGGGCTGAGCCTGCAATGGGAATTTATAGAAGCTGGAACTAGGAAGAGCTTGACCTGATTTATGGACATTTTGGGGCATTTATGTTTGAGATATTATTAACAGGACAAAAGAATGAACTTCCTTGAGACATTTTCCCCAATAATCAAACCCTCTTTGTCAATAAGGAACCTAATTGCTATATTCTGTTTTTTGGTTTGTTTGTTGTTTTTATTTTTTTGGGGGGGGCTAGTGTTCGAAGAACTCAAGTAATTGATGATGAGTCAGATTACTTTGCCAGTGATTCCAACCAGTGGTTGTCTAAACTGGAGCGAGAAACTCTGCAGAAACGAGAGGGGGAGCTGAGAGAACTTCGACATGCCTCTCGGCTTACCAAGAAGATAACTATTGACTTTGCAGGCAGAAAAATCCTGGAAGAGGAAAACCCACTAGCAGAATATCACAGCAAGTAAGTGGGCAGCACCTGGAAAAGGAAGAAGGTTGACTAGAAAGGATTTTCCCCTTGTAGTGAATCTCTTTTTGTTGCTATAGATGTAATACATTCATTTGGAATTGAAAAGATATAACAAGAGCTTTTTAAAAAGTTGATTTTTATGCAATGAAACATATGACGACAGTTTTTTTTAAAAATGAAAATTAACATTGTGCTTTTTCTTACGACTTTAAAACCATTTTAAAAAATAGTTGTAATAATGAAAATAATCAGGTATAAAATGGGCACAGGAAAAAATTGATGAAATACAGTAAAGTCCAGAGAGAGAGACCGCTATGTCTTATATGTCAGTGTATGTTTGTGAGGAGATTATTTGATCAATAAAGTAACCTTTTTAAGTAGCATAGAAAAGATTAAAATATATGTTGAGATTATTGGTTACCATTTTGGAAAAATGCTTAGGCTAAGTCTCTGCCTCAAACTATACTGTGATAATAAATGGAACTGAAGAGTTAAAGATGTAAGCAGATAACTAAAAATATCAGAAAGAAATGTGGGAGAATATTTTTATAATATTGAGGTTATTAATCTCTTCCTAAGCAAGCTACAAAACCTAGAAGTCATAAAGGCATAGCTATTACAAAGAAAGCAAAAATATAGTACCAAATTCAGAGAAAGTATTTTCAGTGTTCTGAATATAGTATGAATATATAGTAATAATATGCACACAGTATAAAGCCAATAAATTAAAAACAAAAAACCAAAAACACACCACAAAAACCCAGCAGGAAAATGAGTAACCACAAAAACTTTGGCATTTTAAATGATCTTTTTAGATAAATACATGATTATAGTGTGCCCTACTATTTTCTTGATGTTCTGGAACTTTTTTAAAAAATTTTTTAAAATTATTATTTTTGTGTGAGTGTACCGTCAAATAAGATCTAATTGGTCCAGGAGGAGATTGTCCCTCCTTCCCCAGCAGAGCATCTGGTGGATTCGAACCATGCGCCTCTGGGATTGTAGTTGCAGTTCCTTGCCACTAGGCCACCAGAGCTTCTGGAACTTTCCTTAACACATATTTTTTAGTATTCTTTGAGTGAAGAGAAGAAAATTTTTAGGGGAAAAAGGTCATCCATAGGTTACTCTTTGAAGCCCTAACTTTTTTATTATTAAGAAGTTTTATATTGATGGCAAGAAAGGATATTGTGAGCGTGGAACATTAACAATTATTGCGTATTTTTTGTTTGTTATCACAGGCTAGATGAGACAATACAGGCCATAACTAATGGAACTTTGAGCCAGCCACTGACCAAATTGGATAGATCTTCTGCAGAGCCTTTGGGAGTTCTCGTGAATCCCAACATGCACCAACCTCCTCCCCAGGTTAGTACACCTTCTTCAATCCTGATGAGAGAAGTTTGGACCCAAATAGTCCTCCTTTTAAATGTGTCTGTTTGAAAAGTTTTAGATAAAAAGTCTACCCTTTCAAAATACCTGCCAGCTTTAGTCTCTAACTCAATTTTCTCAGGTTTTTTTCTTGCACTACTCTGACAGATTGACCTATACTGTCATCAGGTATTTCCAAAGGGAAGTTTTTTTGGTTAAGCATACTAGAAATTTAGACAATTATCTAATGCTCTTTTTATTAACATTCTTTTTCTTTTATAGAATGTAAGTTATCCCGTAGAGTAGTGTTTTTAAGTTAATGAATTAATTTGCTTATTTATTATCTTTTATTTAACCAGTAAGTATATACATTGAATAACTGCTATGTACAAACACTGTATTGAATGATGAACCAGATCTAATTCTAGTGTCAAGGACTTACAAATAATGGGGACAAAGCTACATAAACAACTAAAAACAAAAGAGAGATAAATGAAGTATTGTAGTAACTCGGAGGTAGGAAAGACTGCTTTTAGTTAAGGAACATTAAAAGGGTTTCGTAGAGAAGCTGGCACTGGAAATAAATATATTTATAGGAAATAGATGTTAGTGGGGAAAAAAGGATTCCAGGCAGAATGAACTATAGGAACAAAACCATAAGTACAAAAAAAATCTTATTGTTAGATAAAATTGAGACAGCTCTGGCTCATAGCAACCCTGTGTACAACAGAATGAGACACTGCCCAATCCTGCACCATCCTTTCAAAGGCTGATATCCTCAAGCCCAGTGTTGCAGCTACCATGTCAATTCTTCTATTGTAGCTAAGGAATAGTTAGTTCAGCTACCTAACTCTCTTAAAACTAAACCCAGTGTTATCACAGTTCATAGTGATGCAGGAGGGAGTAGAACTGCCCTGTAGGGTTCCCAAGGCTGGAATCTTTATGGAAGAGCTCAGGTAACCTAGTCTGTAGGGAGTTGTCCTGCTAACCCAAAGGCCACTCGTCTCAGGCAGTTCAAATCTACCAGCCAGTCCTCTGGAAAAAATGGGCATTCTCCTTCTGTGTGATTTAATAGCCTTCAAAAACCTACTGGAGGGTCAGCTATTAGTTGTTCTGACTTGACAGCAGTGACTCTGAGCTTTTTGAATCTCTGTGGGAGCTCACTGCTGTATTTTTCTCCCATGAAGAAGCAGCTGGGTTCAAACCAGCATTTTAGTTTGCTGCAGAGTACTTTAAGCATTGTGACTCCAAGGCTCTGGCTACCTAGATAGGGCTCAGAAAATATTATCATGGGAAATAGAGTAGTATTAGGTAGGTAGGTTGAAATCACTAAAGAAAGAGCTTAATTGTTTAGCTAAGAAGTTCTAACAGTTTTTGTTAGTAAATGTGAGCTATGGGTTTTTAAACAGAGAAATTATGCAATCAGAGTAATAATTTAGATAGCTTAGTGGGAAACTTTGATTCAACACTGTATGTGGATGGACAAGGTTCTGTTTTAGGTGCTGGAAAATTGAAACATAAAGACCCACCTGTGTCTTTCTATGAACTTTCCAAGTTTAATGAGAATACTAATGATTGTAGTACTTTCAGATAATTATATGAGTAGAGACATGTTATGGGTACAATAGGACTTTAGGAGAAGACATTCATGAATCTACTCTAGGATTCACAAAAGAAATAGTATTTGAGAAGGGACAGGATGAATAGACAAATCTGAGGAAAGAATTCTGAGCAGATACACACAAAGGCTCAGCAAATTGAGATCATTACAGGTTTGAGAAAAAATAAGTATTGTCAGAAATTTTAAATAGACGTGCTAGATACATGAAAAGATCATGAAAGTCCTTAGGTTTCATTCTAAGGAGTATAAATTTTATTCTAAAATGGACAGAAAACAGTCTTTGGAGAATTTTAGCAGAAAATTAACACAATTTCTGTGACTGTGTGCAGAATGGGCTGGAGGAAGCGGTAAGCTTTGACCAAACCCAGTGCCATATAGTTGGTTCTGACTCACAGAGTAACCCTCCAATGGGTTTGCAAGTCTATAAATCCTTGTGGGAGGTGATTGCCTATCTTTCTTCCTTTGAGTGGCAAGTAGATTTCAACCACTGACCTTTTACAGCCTGATACATTATGACCTAAGCCACCAGATCTCTTTAAGACTTGACTCAAAAAAACCAAACTCATTGCTATGGAGTTAATTCTGACTCATAACGACCCTCCATTGGGTTTCCAAGGCTGTAAATTTTAATGGGACGACGCCACTATTGGTGGATTTTAATTTCTGGAGACATACCTTTTGCTTGGTTAGCAACACAACTCCTTAAGGACTACATCATCAGGGAAATGATTAAGGACATCATTGTGGTAGTGCAGTGGAGAGATGACTCAGACACAAATTAAGGTTGGAGTACTAATAGGGAGATACAGAATTACTGAAAAGCTTAAAATGGAGTTGAGGAGAGTAGTTAGCAAGGTCTGGAGTAGTCTTATTGATGGATAATAAGGGATTAATTTAATAAAGTGACAATAGAGAAACAAGAGATCACTGTCTGGACATAGGTCTGGAGTAGTCTTATTGATAGATAATAAGGGATTAATTTAAGAAAGTGGGAATAGAGAAACAAAAGATCACTGTCTGGACATGTATACTCATACATGAGCTGTGGTAAATACAGTGGTAACGTGAGCTTCAAGATTATTCAAAGACCAGCCGTTTTATTAAATCACTTATTTCTGCCATAATTTATTGATTCTCTGTGTTTCCACATGAATAACTATCCATACATAATAATTGTTTCTCTGGTATTTATACCCTTCTGCCTTATGTTCATATTTATTTATTTGTCAGACTTCTTTTATGTATGTCTCCCTGCTTTATGTACTTAATACTCAGTAAATGTACGTTTTTTAAAAAGAAATAACACCATTGATTAAAATAATGAAATTTTATTACAGAAAGATTCTTTAAAATTCATTTTGAACCTTTCATATAATTCAATACTGGAGATAATATCAGCAGTAAGAGATGAAGACCCACTGGAATTAGCCAATACTCTTAATAACAACACCATTAAAATATTTTCCCTGATTAAAAAAAAATTCATTTCATCAGCCTTTATTATTTTATACTTGAGAAGATGGAAACCCATCACTCTAGTGATATTGTGTATAGATTTCCCCCATAAATTATTAGCTACAAATACCCCAGAATTAAGACAACTAATCCCAAACTGCCAACAGAACCTACCACTTTTTTTTTTTAATTTTGGAGTAGTTGATGTTGCTCTATAAGAAACATTAGGACCTGATGTGGGCCACCTTGGCCAGGTGTCCTTCAGAGCCACAC